TGGGGATTGAAATCACTGTCTACAATGAATTTTTAATTTGAACTGCAATAAAATTGGACATTTTCTAAATTATACCTTAATGTGTAAAATAAATTTTAAAAATCACCATTAAAAGTCAAGCTCTAATCCAGTTTAGCAAAGAAACAATCACACACAATTCAAAGGGAAAGGAACCCTAGCTGGTTTGGCTCAGTGGATAGAGCATTAGCCTGCAGACTGAAGGGTCCCAGGTTCAAGTCTCATCAAGGGGCACATTCCCAGCTGTGAGCTCAATCTCCAGTAGGAGGCAGCTGATCAATGTTTCTCTATCATCATAGATGTTTCTCTCTCCCCCCCTTCCTCTCTGAAATTAATACAAATATATTTGAGGGGGGGGGGCTAATGAATCTTTTCTTTAATGAAAGTCCTCCACAGGAATATTTATTTACTTGAAAAATACAAAGTCTACGTAAAATAAACTAGAGAGAGAAAGAGAGAGAGAAAGGACGAACAGTTTGGCTCTTGGCTCTGTGGAACTACAAAAATAAGGAGAGCATGGGCTTTTAAACCCTCTGTAAAGGCAAATAAGGAATTGATATTTTTTAGTTATAGCTTAATTCAACAAATACATATATATGTGTGTGTGTGTGTATATATATATATATATATATATATATATATATATACACACACACACACACATACATATATATATATACATATATATTTCCAAACTCAGAAATATGGAAGTGCCCTTTAATTTGGCAAATACCTATAAATACAGCATTACACAATTATCAGGATGTCTTTAGAAGAATAAAAGTACAAACCTGTTTTTCCTATTTAATTTGTTAACTTAAATAGTCGTATACAATGAGAACTCACTGCCAATTAAAATTTGGTGTGATCTTTAAAGAAGGAAAAAAAAACAACGTTTTAAGAATATGCCCCAGACTTATTTTAAACCCAATGTAAATTAAGGTTTTCTAACAACTAGGCTATTTTAATCACCTACAGTCCAGAGTGGATAAGCCTTATGTAATCAACCAATTAATACAGATGCTCTTTCACATCAGGCACTCATACTAAAATAAATCCTTTTGATCCAATCTCTAAAATCTCAGAAGGCCCCTACAGTGTGAGCTCTACCCACATATGAATTCCACTATTAATACAATATGCATTTAACCTACATTTATGCAAAGTGTATTTCAGAATAAGTCATAAAATTTATACTTTCAATAATATACTGAAAGTGGTCAGACCAATTAAAATATCTGCAACACCACAGACAAAACCAAAACAGCATTATAATAAAAATCACATTATTACAAAAATATCATGAGTTAGCCAAAGAAACGTCACCAAAATAATTTCAATAAAATCAGACCACACTTTAGTCACACATTTCTGTAATCATTCCACACTAAATGAAACACTGAAATACACAGTGTGAGTTACCTTTTTAAATATTTTACTAATATAGCCATAGCAAAGTACAGCATTTAAAAAAAAGATTCTTACCATAAAGCTGAAAATAAATAAGCAAAAGTAAATCTCCTTTAACATTTAGCAATCATGTTATATGAGTGAATATCAGAAATATTAAGATTAAAAAAAAACTTTGAAAGACTCATTGCTAGATCCTATGGGAGGGGAGAGGAGGAGGAGAGGAAGATTGTAAAGAAGTATCCAAAAAGGGGATAAATAAATTCAAAACACAGTATTTTCCTTATGTCTCCTCCACTTCCGAGGAAACATTCTATTCAATGTTAGTAATAATAAAAATGAGCAAGGGACAGAGTTTGCTCCACTCACCCTGCATTTGTATACGTCTTCACTTTCATTATCTTAATAAAATTAGACACACATGCAATTAATGAGGAAGGTTAAAATAGACAAATTTTTGTAGCTTCATTAGGTGCTAATCATCAGAGCCCTAAACTCCAGGACTGAGTATACAAATTCATCTTGCATCCTTCTTTCTCTCCAATAATCTTATGCTTCAGAAACTTTTAACACCAAAGTTTCAACATAATCTCAATAAAAGCTCTAACTCCACCTGAAACCAATTACTTCCTTCCCTGCCCCTTTTCAGCAGTTTCGCCCTCAATGCTAAAGTGAAATAATGTTGAAAATCAAATGATGCAGAAATGTGCCTTCATCAATGTTACAACTTCATGCTAAATTCATTTAATTTCAGTATTTAAAAAACATATTAAGTTGTAATGGCTAGTTCAATTTACTTAACGAATGTATATGAATATCAATAAGATTTCTCTTGTTTTACTATCAGCGAATGAACTCCTATGTTCATCACGACATTCATAATTTTACAATTTAATGTGGTAATTGGAAACTGTGTATGTTTACACATCAGAAGGCACTACCTTCTGCACCAGAGGGTATAGCTTAGTGGTTGGGTGTCATCCCATGTTATCAAGAGGTCATCCTTCGATTCCCATTCCTGCAGGGATTGGGGCTCCATCCCCAGTAGGGGGCATGCAGGACGCAGCTGGTTTATTGTTTTTTTGTTTTTTTTCTTCTCTAAAATCAATAAAAACATATTCTTTTTAAAAATATGAGTTAAAAAGAAAACAAAAACGAATTACCTTCCCCTCAAAAACAGTGTAATTACTTTTAAGCTTTCTGAGAAAAAAAAAATTAGGTGTCATCTTAAAAAGTCAAATTATTATTTCTTTTTATGTAAAAGGAATGCAAGTGAAGTTATTAGCATTTAATATTTTTATATCAAAAGTCAGAAAGTCTGTACTCAATACTGTTGTGGTCTCAACATATTGATTTATCTGCTAATCATTCAGGGTCATGGTCATAGCTAATGTTTGGCTAGAACCAAGTAGCATATAGAGAGGAGAAAGCAACCAATCTTAGTTTATATCAGGGTTGTTGTTTGGAAACAATAGAGTAATTCAATGATGGTTAGAAAAGAAACATTGTTTCAATTTATTTGGAAGAAGCTTTGTTCTGGGTAATCATAATTCCCAATGTTAATGCCAAAAGGTGTAAAATTTTCAAACATTACCAAATAATTCCCTACAAATTATTTATCTTTTCACTAGGACACACACTACTGGTTTATAATTCAAATCACACATCGGCATAACAATAATTTTTGCATTAGATATTTAAAAATCTCAAAAGAGCCACAACATCATAAGGTTGCTATGAGGCTCAAATTTAAAATATGAAGGTACTTTTTTACGTCATAAATTACTATAGAAGGTATTATAATGACCTACGAGCAACTATGTCACCTGACTTATGCTCCAGATCCCATGGGACTTAACGAAAGTTCATTGTACATGGAAAATAATCTTGTCCCATGCATTTTTTTATAGTAAGAAAAATAGTAACAATACCTTGATAATTATCAGACCAAAATGCATTAATAATCTCTAAGAGTTTCTCAAATAGATTACTTTACTTTGTACAATTACCTGTTTTTATATAAATCAATATCATAACTGCTTACAGATAACTTCCTACAGATAGCTTAGTCAAATCAACCAAGCACATTCAACCATGAATTCCACTGCCAAAAATTTAGAAAAAATTTAAAACACAGGCATGTCTTTTAACATTCAAACAGAATAGTTTATGTGGTAAGAAACATCTCAAATCTCTTTACTGAAAACATTTTCAACCTCAATTCAGAATGACAGCAATTCAAAGCTGGAGTAGTGTTCTTTTATAGGAAGATAATTATTATTTAAATAATAGTCTAGTAGTAGGTTGCTTACATTTAGACACACAAGAACCAAGGTGATATTTTTCTGATGAGAAACAACTAAGCCCTTTAAAGGAATAAAACATAGCTTAAATCTAAGTGTAAAATTCTTCCCGAACAAGAAAATCTTCCTACCAAAGGAGGGGAAGAAGAGACATCTCTGTTAGGACATCCCTTTAACAGAAAAAGTATTTTAAAGGAAGTTTTAAATAAAATCTCCAGTGATTAGTTAATGGGAACAATGACTATCACTAACATTTAAGAAAAAGCTTGAAATGCTTATGTATAAATAAATCACTGTGTCTACTGTGCCTTTAAAAAAAAAACACCACCACTGATTGTCTCTATAATCACATTTTTAAATATTTTCCTTCACACACAAAATGTGGTATACAACCTGGTATTTATCTGAATTGGGGATGGGCACAGGTACAGAACTAACAACAGGACCATCTAAATTTAGAACTTTCCCCCAGTAATTCCATTTTAATAGATCCTTTGGATGTCAAACAGAAATGTCAGTACACTTTTAAGCGACTGAGATAAACAAAGAAAAGCATCAAAGGACGGTGAGAATTGAAGCTTAACAATATTGGCCATCAGTTTCTACTTAAGAAGTTGTGGGAACATTTGAAAGTAAAATTTTGTTTTGCACTATGTTGCCACCAATAAGAGACTGATCAGCAAACAAGACTTGGCTACTTTAGGTCAGGAACCTCACAAGCAAGTCCTTTGCCTAATGCTGTGGTCCCATACATTGTTCACTGCATTTCTGTGACTTGTTAGTACTTCTGATTTTTAACCCTTTACTCTCGTTACATTCCACAAGTGTGCAAACACAGCAGAACAACTCTTGGTTACCTGAGGTATAATATAAAGGGCTCTTTTCATTTTGATGTAAGCATATTCTAAAACAGCTTAAATGAACATGCACCATGAACATGCTGTATCTGCAAACATTAAAACCTCTTGAACTTATACAATTTTTAATTAAGATCCGTTAATGAGCAGTATTTTTTTTAAATAAAATTTTCAACCATTGGCCAATGGGATACTGAATGCCAATATTCAGACAAAAACTTGAAATGTATAGAAATAGGCTATCTACCATGTCTACATTAAAAAAAAACAAACACAAACAAACAAACAAAAAACCTCCTTAAACTTATTCACATGAAGAAGCACATTAATTGCTGGAGAAAACATACAAATAAATGAATATTTAATTCTACCAATCTCTCTCAGACTTAAGAAATTGAAAACCAAATCTTACCTTGAGTAGCCATTAGAAAAAACCGATCGCCCAGGGAAGTTCAAAGTTCCCAAGGAAGTCAAGTTGTCATCTCCAGATCCTTGGCACCTATTCCAATTTTCTGAACCAACAGGGATTGGTGGAATGACATTAAAAACAGGCTTCTGATCCTGCTGCTGAGAAAGGGATGCTGTATTCATGTCATAGTGGTACATCTGTCCCCCAGAGGTGCTCACACCGTGCACAGAAATGGCAGACATTTTATTACCAATTACGTTTGCCCCAGAAAAACTTTCCTGACAGTAAACCGGGCCCAGTCTCTCCTGCTTAATTACTCCAGGGGTGCAGAGTTCAATGAAATCTTCTTCTTTTTCTGTCTTCACCTGGGGCAGTGCCACACTGCCGGGGCTTGGTAAAATCAGATCTCCATTATCCTTAATTTTAGGTTTAGTTTCTGGCAAAACGAGAGGCTTACAGTCCTCATTTGAGTTTCCTTCCAAAAGGAATGGATCATCCTCTCCTCCCAAAGGAGAAAGCAAACAGTTTTCATCTATCAAGAGGTCTGGTCTCCAGGGGCTCTCGTTCATCTCTTTCCCTGGGGACCCAGGAGGAAACTCCAAATCCTGCAAAATGTCGAAGGCTCTTTGGTCTGTGGAATACAACTTCACATTGCCACCGTTGGTGCCAGCCTGGCTCTTCAAATCTTGCTGTTCCGAAGAAGACATGTCGGGTTGTGTTTTTGGAAACTCCTTCTCTGTGGGGTTAACAGAAACAGTAGCAGACGCTGCACTCTTGGGATTCTCTGGAACAATGGTCGACTTATTGAGGTTTGCAATGCTTTCTTCCAGAAGCCGAAAGTCTGTTTCCCCAGAGGAGAGGCTGATTTGGCCCGGTTGTGGGAACCCCAGGTCATTTCCCATCACTTTTGTTTCTGTCTCTCCCATATACAGTCCCATGGAGAGGGAAACAGCCTGGGACAGATCTGGCTGCTGCGCATTGCTTCCTGAGCCTTTTGGAAAATCAACCAAAAGTCTTTGCTGCTTGGAGTCTGTCAGAGAAGCAGCAGCCAGTGAGGGGGAAGATGCAGAAACCTTCACAGTAGCTCCTCCCCTTAGGGTTTTATAGAAGTCCATCACTTTTCCTCTCTCCCCAACAAGCACGCTCCTGGGGATTTCTTCTTTACTGGGGGAGCCTAAGGATTCCTTCGAGTCCATCAATGAATATCAGCTACAAAAAAGAGAGAGGGGGGCATAATAAGCTATAAAGTCACATTATCTGTGATCCGTTTAGTAAGAGCTTGTTAAATGAACCTTTTAGTTAACCCTGAATCTAATTCCTCATTATCAGAAGAGTAGTTTCTGTCATGCAGAATGAAAAGCCATGCACGTCCCCTGCTCCCATTCAGTGTGCCACACTTGAAAGTACGATACAGTCCATTGCATGGCTGAGAGCAAAATTATATCAAACGCAGCTTGGCTATTCATCCTGACACTCACAGAACTGTAACTTTGTTAATTATAGACATTATCATTCATTACATCTGATTATTCTAAAGGTTAGAGTTGATGCCAAAGTATTTCATTAAAAAAAGAACTATGATCATTAAAATTCCTGCCTCTTTTCAATCACGGCTTTTCTGAGAATCAATACACATAAAATTTGATAAGTACTATGATAGAATTCTTTACCTGATTATTCTCCAATTACCCTCCTACTAGCTAGCTAGTCATACATTCAAACCTTTTAGTACAACCTCCTAGTAAATCATGCTCATTTTACCTGAAAAAAATAAACAATGATGATTTTGCTTATCTTCCAATAGGCTAGGAAAAGGCTCTTATTTTTAACTCATACTTCTTATTGAATGTACCTGTTGAATAGTGCCTGCCCTCAAATTTGACATACCAAATGAAATACATTGTAATAAAGGCAAACTAAAATTTAGATTTTAAAAAGCAGAAGAGAATATAGCTCTTTTCACAACAACTTTAGCTTATTTAAATATAATAAATGCAGTGCCTCTCAATCTGCACAACACAATAAAATATGGATGACGCTACAGTTCTTTAAAACTGCTTAAGATCCTCAGTATAAAACGATATATTTCTAAATAAAGACGTCTCCTTTCCAATTTTTAACTACCTAACAAGACAAAAACCCAGAACGCTAAAATCTTATTCGTATAAATCCAAGCGGGAAAAAAATCCTGTAAAATGCTGCTAATTTTCTCTGCATTCTAAACCTTCCCCTATGACAACTCTGAGCCTATTCTCAAGTCGGTTAGATTGCCAGTATATCAATAATCAGGATTTTTTTTTAAAAAGGGGCAAAGTCTTTGATAAGCATACTATTTGCGACATGATAGTCAAATCTCACCCAAATGAAACTTGTCCTGTACAGAGACTTTAAAAAACATAAACTTCACTGGCCCTCACAGAAAAATGGAGTGCGATGAAGGTGGAAGGGTGAAATCTTGGTGGTAAATTGCTTATCGCCCCCTTTGATCTGATAACGATCTTTAAACACTGGGCATCAAGTGGAACCTAATGAATTTGCACACCTTCTTGACAGCTGCCTCCCAATTCTAAGCCAAAACAATGCCTCCTGAAATGAAAAAGATCCCTTCCTCCAAGGGCTTTAGCCCCCAGTTTAAGTTGCAAATAACTGACACCTCAACGAACAGCGCTGCAGGGGTCTTCAGGGCCAGTCCAGGCTGCCAGACCCAGCCTGCATCCCAAATGTCCAACAACGCGCGGCTCGTCAAAACCGCACCAGAAAGCGGTGACGACTGGGGAGGGTCTTTTGGAAAAAAGGGTCACTTATAAAAGTCAGGTGAGAAATACCGCCAAGCGCCAAACCTCAGCTGGGGGATGGGGGTGGGAGGTGAGAGAAAGGCGCCTAGACCTGTTGCTGCGTTCTTTCCCGACACGCCCACTCCTATCCGAGACCGCCGGCCCCGGCCAAAGTCTCCAAGCGGCGGGCGGTCAGCCCCCCGCGGGCGTGCGCTCACCCGCACTCATACCCGCACCACCGCCGCACGCTCACCCACCCGCACGCACACCCGCACTCACACCCGCACTACAGCCGCGGGCGAGCCCGCCCCGAGTGGGACGCGCTGGAGCCTCGACAGAAACCCCGCCGCGCTTGGCGCACCGGGGCGGAGTGGGAAGACTCGGGCGAACAGAATTCAGAAGCGGCTTAGTATTCACCATGAAAATGGGTATCTGGGCCCCCCCCCCCCCCCCCCCCCCCCCACACACACACACACAAACACCCCCCCCCCCGGAGAAGCAAAGGAAGAGGATTTGGAAAACAACAACAACAACAAAAAAGAGCGGCTGGAAACCCGAGGCAGCCGGACCGGCTCCACTCGCAGAGTCGGAGCCCAGTTTCCTCCCCCTCGGCCCCGGGAGAGGAAGAGCCCGGCGCTGGCACCCGCGCACTGCCCTTTCGTCACCGGCCCTCGGCCCTCGCCACCCCCCACCCCCCCACGCCCCGCGGCTGATAAAAAAGTTTGCAGGCTCCGCCGCGGCCCCGAGCAGCGCCTCCCGGGAGCGGGGAGCGGGCCGGCCGCCGGCGCTTACCTCTGTGGAGGCGCAGCGCGCCTGCCGCCCGCGCTCCCACGGCGGGCAGCCCGGATAAACAACTCAGCACGGGAAAGAGGCCGATTTCTCCCCTGGAAAAGGGAAGTCAGCAGCCGCCCCCTTCTCCATGAGTGGGGGGGAGCCCCTCTCTAAGAAAAGTCCAGCATTGCTCGCTGACAAGCCGGCCCCCGCCCCGAGCCCCTCTGCCCGGGCTGGGTCTCGGGCGCGCGTCCTCCGTCCCGGCGCCTGGCCGCTCGCTCCAGCCGCTCTCTCTGGCGGCGGCGTCTCCTTCCACCCACGAGACTCCGGCCCCGACGGACGGACAGACGGGCGGCGGCGACTAGGGCTCCCGTCACCAACTCGAGATCGCAAAATGGAGGAGGAGGAGAGGAGAGGAGAGGGGAGGGAGTGCGGACACGCGAAAGGGCCGCCCCGCCGCGGCGAGGGAGCGAGCGGGCGGGCGGGCGGGGGCGGCGCCACGGCGCGCTCTCTCCACACGCGCTCCCACTCCGCCCCCGGCGCTCCCCGCCCAGAGGGGCCGCGCGGCGGCGCGGGGAACGGTGCAACCTGTTGGCGACGCTGGGCAACTGCACGGGTGTCCGCGGCCCCTGCCCCCACGCCCTCCTCGCGGGCCCCGCCGCCCCTCCCACGCCCTCTGCCCCCGCCCAGGTGCCCGCCGCCCCCGGGCCGCGCGGAGACGGTCCTCGCTCACCCAACCCCCCTGGAGAAAAGGAGAGGAGGCGGGGGCAGACCTCGTCTCCCGGGAGCGCTCCGAAGGGAAACCGAGTTTCTCTAGTTTCTCTTCTGCCTCCTTCCCGCCTCCGCCCAGCTCCGCGACTCCCGACCCACTCGGGAGCTCGCCCTGAACCACCGCCGCCGGCGCCCCGCGGCTGACAGACTGCGGGGGGGGGGGGGCTGGGCGCCGCCCCAGGAGCCGCGGGGGGTCCGCGCCGCCGCCCCCGGGCCGAGGTGCGCGACGTGCGGCCCTGAGCGCGGGGCGGCGGGGCTGCACGGAGACGGTGCCGCAGCGTCTGTGCGCCGGGCCGGTCCGCCCGACACGCCCTCCGGGGAGGCCGCGGGGAGGGGGCCGGCGCGGCAGACTCGGGGCGCGGGGGCAGCTGCGTGCCGCCAGGCCCCCACCCGCCCCCGCACCGTCGGGGCGGCCGGGTCTGCACCCGCCGCCACGCTCCCGTCCCGGAGAGAAGTTGCCAGCAGAACCCACCCTCCCCCGCGTCCGGCCGGCCCCCTCCCGCTTCCCCAGCCTCCCGGGCGGCGGCGGCGGCGGCGGCGGCGGCGGCAGGAGGCTCTGCCTGCCAAGTTCAACCCCCACCCTCCCTCCCCGCGCGCTCACACTTGAAGGAAGTTGCACGCCAGAAGCAAAACCTCCAGCGAGCTGCATTTCTTTGCACTTTCCCCCCTATTATTATTATTATTATTATTATTTATTTTATTTTATTTTTTAAGGAAAGCAGGGGGTGGCAGGCCTAAAAGCAAGTTGCAGGCGAAACAGTAAGTTGTTGCCGGTCAAGTACGCCCTCACCCCCCAAACTCCTGACCTCTCCCGCCAGCCCGCCCGGGACCGGCTCCCAGGCGTCCGGGGGAGGCCCCTCGGGGAATCCTGACTTCGGCTGCACGCGACTCCGTGCACCGCCCGCCCTTCCGTGCCCACGGGACCCCAGCCCGCCCTCCGCAGCCGAAGCGCACGCAGCTTGAACATGTCAGCACCCCACTCCCTCCAGCTGTTCCCGTTACGCGGGGAGACGGGCGGCCAGCCACCCCCCCCCGGGAGCGGGGCCGGGGCCGGGGGTGTCCGCGCGGGAGGCGCCCCCTCCAGCCCCCTGCCCGCTCGCTGGACCCGGGGCGCCCGGCGGCGCGGGGCCGGAGCCTCCTACCTGGAGCGGCACGCACCATGGTGTTCGCGGCTCGGGAGAAGGCGGTGCGGCGAGGCTTCGGGGTGTAGGGAGGTAACTTGTGCGCCCCCACAGGTGACAGCGCTCGCCAGCTCCTGCCGGGGGCGGAGGCTGCCACCGCTCCACCTCGTCGCTGCCCGGAGCGCGGCGCAGCCACTCTCCTGCAGGCCCGGCCGACTGGGCTCTGACACCTTCCAGCGGGGCGGGCGGCGCGTGCCGGAAGCCGCCGCCGCCATCTTGGTAAAGGGCGCTGACGCCGCTCGCGGCGCCGCCACCATCTTGGCCCAGCGCTTCGCTCGGGGCCTCCGGAGTCGCCCTTCCTCTCGCCTGAGCGGGGGTCGCGCCTCGGGGGAGGCCGGGGGTGACAGGAGAGGAGGAAGCCTTCAGCCAGCGGCTCCTCCTGAGGCGCCCTGGGCGCGCTTTCCGTCAGGGCCGCCATCTTGGCAAAGGGAGAGGGAAGCAAAGGAGAGGGCACCAAACCTTGGCCCAGGTCGGATTTCTATGAAGGGTACTGAGCAACACAGGTGTTAACCTTTTTCTGAACGCAGAAGGGATGACGTCTCCTTTCCTTTCCCTTGTTGCCGGCCTTGCCTTGGGGCGCACAGTGGACTACAAGTAAAAATCTGCTCGGAAAGCTACCTGGCAGGCCTGCCCGTGTCCCACCTCCCACCTCTGCAGGGCTAGAGACAGAGGTCAGCAAACCACCAGCAGTACCACGAGGGAGAAAGTCAAGACTCAAGCTTGCAATAATGTTATGCATGGTTTAAAAGGCAGTTAAATAACTCATGCCAATGTGGTTCCCCTTCTAAATAGGCTTCAATGTTATATTAGGAATATCTTAGATACTAGAGGCCCAGTGCACAAAATACATGCACAGGTAGAAGATATTTAGTAATCTTTCAATAAATTATATTTCTGAGGCCTGGCTGGCAATCAGAGCCTATAGGGGCCTTCCTTACCTGGGGTGCCTTTCAGTGTCTTGTAGCCCAATTTTTATTTTGTTTTCATTTTATTACACTAGAGGCCCAGTGCATGAAATTCGTGCATGGGGAGGGACCCAAATGGCTGCCAGCAGGGCCTTCTGCACTGCCCCCTGGTGGTCAGCGCACATCATAGCGAGTGGTTGAACTCCCCAGGGCACAATTTGCATAATAACCTTTTATTATATAGGATAAATTATATATATATATATATATATATATATATACACACACACACACACACACACACACACACACACACATATATAATAAGTTACCTAACTTCTCCCCAAAACATAAACCAATTAATTTCTAATTGTATGACCCTACTCTAAGAATATGCTTTGTTTTGTGTGGGTTTTTATTTTTTTTATTTTTATTTTTTTACTTATTTAATTCTAGGTGGGGATACTCTGCTTTTAAAAATAATATCCAAACATTCCCAATCAACTTTTCCCCCCACTCATTTTAAATTCAAACAAGAGCTGAATAGATAGGTCTTATTATCAGTTTTCATGAAAATTAGAGGAAACTGAAGCTTACAGAGGATGATGCCTATTCAAGGTCACATGCTTATCTTGGCTGGAGAAGGAAGGTAGAATCAGACCATATTAAAAGAGGTTTTTCTTTGTTGATCTCATAATTCCCATGAAAGAGAATGAAAATCCCATGATAGACTTGAAAAAAAAAAAAAAAGTGTATAGAATTTAGTTCAAGAAATGAAATCCAATGTACCAGAAAGAAAGTGAAATTAAAATTGTAATAACAGGATTTCTAACAATTTAAATAAGCAAATTTACTAGTAATTTACTGAGCTTATGTCTGCTAGGCACTATTGACAGTGTTTTATACATACCATCTTAAATCTTTACTTATGACAATTACTAACCAGTAACCCTCAGAAGTTATAATAAATAGGATGAATCCCATGTGAGGGGGAATATAACTGATGTCTCAGTAGTAGAGGTGGGTATGAAGGTGAGCTATCCAAACCCCATCAAGGCAAGGACCTGATCAGTCTTTTTCATTGCTGCATGCTCCACTCCCAAACAGAGCCCAGTACAAAGTAGGTGCTCAGCAAATATTTTACAGAGTTATAATAAAACAGAGTCAAGGAGACCCAATACCACTTTTGCTAGGTTGTTGTGGAGGCCAAGTGAGCTAATGAAAAGTGCACAAGTATTACTCAGACACTAATTTTTATTATCGGATGGTTAAATATCAGAGTGCTTTCATTATACAGAAACAAAAAACAACTAGGACCCATTATTAAGTGTTTTCATAGTTTCCTGTACTTTGGTAGCACATTACAAGGATAGTTCATTATTTGTGGCTCATTTCTTAAATTTTTGTCCCCTGCTTAGAACATAAGCTCTGTGAAGGCAGAGCCTGTGTTTCTTTTTCTTTCTTTCTTTTTTTCTTTTTTTTTTTTTAATCATTGTATCACTACGGCATAGTAGGTGCTCAGTGGATGTTTGTTGAATAAATGAATTACTTAATGAATTAATGAATGTATGGATGGAAAGAGTCTAAGACTATAACCTAAGGCCAGTGAACCTTACATCTAAATAGTAACCAAACCACCTTTTAAATTTGTACAGCAATTGATATATTATCCAAGTGAGTTCTCCCATCCTGTTCACATGTATTATTATTTCCGTTTCCATTAAAACAATCCATGCCTCACTGCCAGGTTACTCCTCTAACACATCATCAAATCATGTCATGTTCCTACTCACGTAACAAATCATGGTGTATATATGCAATAAAGTGGTCAAGATTGCCAGTACATTATTACTGTTAATGGTGTGGAAAATGTTGAAGTTATGCTAAATGGGGGAGAGGGAAAGTAATTTTGTAGTTAAGATTGGGCTTTGACGTCATTTCTGGGATGTAAATAGCAGATTTTAAATTCTAGCTGTATGACCCTGAACAAATCATTTAACTTCTTCTATGTGCCTGGATGGTTAGATGCACATGAGGTGATGTTTGGGTTTGATATTTAGTAATCCTTCAATAAATTATATTTCCATATATCTAATAAAAATGAGGCATTGAACAGAATAGGAAAAGGCATTAAATGTTAGGCCTGCAGGTTATAGAATTATAATTTAATATAATTAAAAATTTATCTTTCAGAAAAAGTAACTACAATGATTTCCTATTCTACCGTGTTTTTCTGAAAATAAGACATCCTCTGAAAATAAGACCTAGCACATGGAAAGATAAAACATCCCCTGAAAATAAGACCTAGCGCAACTTTGGGAGAAAAAATTAATAAAGACACTGTCGTATTTTCGGGGAAACAAGGTAGTATATGCAGACTCCTAACTTCCATTTGGGTATTTAAGACTGTCTTTTACCTGCTTTCTAGGTCAGGCAAAATCTTCTAGTTGATGCAATTGGACTGATATTTGATTAAATTAAAAAGTCAAAGCAAGGGAATCATAAAAAAATTATACAGGCTTTGAAACCTAAAACCTAGAATTAAACATTTGTTTCCTAACCCTTTGCTGAAGGTCTAAAGGTTTTGTAAGCCCACTGACTGGAGTTCGTTGCCTTCGTTCATGTATGAACTGCACTACAGCATTGCAATGAAGAGCCAGACTGCCTGGGTCCCTCCACCTCTCTGAGGAAGTAATGTTGGGTAGCCTAACGACCTGTGCCTTAGTTTCCACCATGTGTGAAAGGAGGATGAGAATAGTACTAACTCATGAGAGTGTAGATTTTATCCCCTTGCTCTCAATCTCTTAAAGTTGTTTTGCACTCACTTCATCTAATAGCAATTGTTTACATAGCAGTTTTACATTTAGATCGTATAGAACAACTATTTTTTTTTACTCATTTCATTATTTACTTAAGTAATTACAATAACAAATGCAAATGAAATAAAAATGTTTTGAGGGAAATAAACATGTTTTAAGGGGGAAAAACACATGGGACTATTGGTAAGCATACAGCTTAACAGATGGGAGAAGAAATGTATAGAGTATACTAGCCTTGGCTCCAGTGTTCAGCACATCCTGAGCATCAATCAGGACGTGTTCTAGGGAGAAGGGAGAACCTGGGTGAGCCGAGATGAATGCATTGAGTAGTGTTGGTGAAGAGAGATCCCGTTAAAGAAAGATCACAGCTTTTACCACATTCATTCCCACCTCCACTGTTGTTTATCACTTATTTCCTTTTACATAAGGACACCTCCTTGTGACTTATTTTCTTTTAGCTCATAATTCCTTGTCATGGTTCTAGTTTTATTTATTGTATCTTTCTGTCTCCCCATACACATCCTTTAAATCTATGATGTTAAATGTAAATTGCAATAAATGATCATGTTTGTATAAGTCATTTTGAGTTATGGTAAATCATTGAATATATTAGTTGTATATTAAACCAACATGAACAGATCCTGTAGGTTGTCAAAACTTACTTTAAAAAATTGTTCCTGCAGCTATCATAGCTATTAGATGCTTTTTAAAAATAATACCTTGATTTTAGGATACACTTCTATTCTTGTTTAACTTTGTAAGGTAAGAGGTTTAAGGGAACCCAGCTGAGCTTTGAATATCCCATCTTTTTCTGCTTCAATATTTCCATTTTATACCAGATATGCCTATTATAAACAATTCACATGTAGTATAGCACATTCTTAAGCATAATGAATTTCACTTTAGTACTTCTCTTTGTAATTAGAATTAGCACTACCACATGCTAAGTTATTACCAACATCCTTGGTGTCCTGCTGCTTCTCATGATATTTTCAATGACTCCATCATAAAACCTAAAATATCACAATTGTGCTCATATCCATGTAGCCTTTATCCTTTATGTTGGCAGAACGTAGTTTAAGCAATACCTGCTTCAAGGATGAGGTGAATATCAGCAGATAAAAAGGGTAAGTTTTGAAATAAGCAGAAACCAAATGCTTTTAGTGTTTGGAGACAGTAGAGCAAACACTGAAAAGCTGTAGCTAGTATTGTGCACTTTGTTTTTCATTTGTGGCCATTGTGGCTGGCCATTATGCCACTAGCTTTCTTCCTCTACTGATTTAATTTCCTTTTCTATCCCACGTTCTCTGGTGGAGATTGCTTCAAGCTGCTCAATTTCTAGGTGGGCCCTCTCAGCTCATTTTCGAAAACCTGCATTTTCATTTTTGTGCTTACGACCTATTTAATGGTGGAGTTTAAA